TTATCTGGTTGTTCTTCATAGGAACATTAAAGTCCACTCTCATGACCAGTAACTTTCCTTTCACATCCAACTTGTCCAGAATAAGCTTGTTAGAAAGAGACATCTTGGCAATACAGCAAAGGCGATTTGCTCCGGGTGGGGGTGGGGGTGGGGCAGAAAGCGGCAGTGAGCTGCAACAGCCTAGGAGCGCTGGAGAAACGTGTGGAAAGAGCAAATGAAGTTTTTTAAAACTTTAGTCCATCTATGCCTTTAAAATCAACTTTATTTTGAGGAGGCAGCTCTTCCCCAGTTGTATTTGAATGCCTTCCAATCTGAGAAGCTCATTTTCTGGCACTATATAAGACAATGTTTATAGATTTTAAGTAGTTAATTTTTTTTTTCAAAGTAGATAATCATATCCTGATTTTTAATCAATCCTAATCTGGAAGCTTCACTTTAACCTGTTCACATGTATAATCCTGATGGTATTTTAAATACTGGTGGCAGAGCTTCCAGAATCACAACAACATGCAAGCCGTAACAGTGTAAAAAACTGATAGATGAGTGGTGGATTCTTATTTTACATGTGGGGAAAGTAATTGCCAGATGACACAACTTTGCTTGTCAGACATGAAGACATCTTGAGTCACTTACTGATATAGGTCAAAGACTGTAGACTTTCAGTATTGTTTACACCTGAATTAGAAGAAAAAAAAATCATCACAATGAAACCAATAAACAACATCATGAAAAATGAAGAAGATTTGAAGTTGCCAATGATTCATTTTATATGGATCAATAATCAACATCCATGGAAGTAGCAGTTAAGAAACCAAATGATATATTGAATTGGAAAAATCTCCTGCAAAAGACTTTTTAAAAGTTTTAAGAAGCAAATATGTCATTTTGATGACTATGGTGAGACTGACCCAAGCCTTGCTCTTTTGAATCACTTCATGTGCATGACAAAGTTGGATAATAAAAAAGGAAGATAGAAGAATTAATGTCTTTGAACTGTAGTGTTGGTGAAGAATTTTGAATTTACCATGAATGCCAAAAGAACAAACAAATCAGTCTTAGAAGTAATACAATCACAATGCTCCTTAAAATCCAGGATAGTGAGATTACAGCTCAATTACTTTGGACACATCATCAGGAAAGACCAATTTCTAGAAAAGGAAATCATGCTTGTTAAAGTAGGTCAACAAAAATGAAGAGAACTCTCCATGAGATGGATTGACACAATTTCTGCAACAGTGGACTCAAACAGACCAGTGATTGTGAAGAGGGTGCAGAATCAGGCCACATTTCATTCGGTTATACACATGGTCACCATGAGTTGGAAAAACAACTTGACTGTAGGCTAGCAGTCAAATCTGGATTTCTATCTCCAGAGCCATGCTCTCAACCATTTGCCCTGGCTACTTTACTGGAAACCATCTAACTGAGTCAGGGAGAGTTCTGAACTTTGGTAAAAGTAGGCAATTTTTGTTTGTCTTTGCACTAGATCTGCACTTCTTGCAGTTATTTATTGATACTTCTCTTCCTCTGTTCTCACCTCTTGTTTCCTGTTCTTTTAACTTGGTGGCCTCATTCATTGCATAGGGAAGGAAAACGTTAAGCTTCTGCCTGGTTTCCTGCTAGTTCCTGGTAGGGCAGCACAAGTTACTGCCATTTTCCATTTTCCCCCAACACCAATCCCATGTTTTATTATCTACGACACTCTACTTTTCTCTACAGAAAACTTTGGAGTCAACTCTGTGGCACCAATATTCATATAATAAAAGTCAAAGGCTTTATGTGTTTACTACAATGGACTGACTACATACCTTATCGGCTGCCATGGAAAAGTATTTGAAGGCAGTAGCATTATTTTGGGATGCTGCAGCATTCCCCTCTAAATACATCTAGGAAAAAAATTAAAAGATGGTTTTGAAAACTAAGGAATTTGAGGGTGATGAAAAATTGGAAACTAGATATAACTGGATTGTATATTTAAAAATGATTTTGTTATGTGAATTTAACCTCAATTAAAAAATCTAATAAGGAAAGTATCTACTCCATTCAAAGTATCTACTCCAAGGCATACTTGTGTTTTCTCATGTTTCCTTATATCTCAGTTTTTTGTATGCGACACTTCTGAAAGCAGAGCATTTGTCTCTGCAGTTACTTATGCAAATTGACTATAGGGAGCCAAGGGCAGCACTTGAGGAGTATATGGTCTTTGAAGGAGAAAGCTGTCTCTCTAGAGGAATGCCTTACAATTGCTGTTCAAGGATCTCTCATCAGAGGTGGCAGAAGGATGGTTTTTGGTCAACTTGGAACTGGTTCTTATTCCAGGGGTTGAACGAAGTAGGCATCTATTTGGGCTGAGATCTATGTAAAATGTCTTCTCACATACACAACTAGTCTGCATCTCCTGGTACATGCTGATGGAGGAATCCATCACTGGGGTACACTCAGCCAAGGAGTCATGGGGCAGGTACACTTTCAAGTCTACTTTATGTGCTCCAGATAAAGGTTGCTGTTGTACCTGAAAATTCACCACTCTCAGA